TCATGAAGAAGCCGACCGACCACCATTTCCTTCGTCCAAGTGTCTTGCACGCTATCGAGTGTCGTAATCACCGTCGACCACTCTTCCGGAAGGCCGCATAGCAATGTCAAAATCCAATCCTCCTCCGTGACCGTTCCACCGAGGTCCATGAACGTTTCCCCGAGTTCCTCCACACGAGTCGCATACTCGTGCATTGATTCGCCCGCGCGCATCTTCACCGTGTAGAATGCATTCCGGGCTAGGATCTTGCCGTGGAGAGTCTTGTTCACGTGGATGGTCTCGAGTCGCTTCCACGCTTCATGTGCCGACGCTTCGAGCTTGATGCACATGCGCACCGAGCTCACGAGATTGATGCCGATGCGCGAAATCAACGTAGCGAACGCCTTTTGGTCCTTCTTCTTCCATGCCGCGATGTCGCTCTCATCGTTCGGCTTCTTCTCCGTTCCATCGAAGAAACCCCAAAGTCCCCGCTCCATCATGAGCACTTGGAACTTAAACTTCCACGCGGAGTAATTTTGTCCCGTGAAAATCGGTACCGCCGACGTGTCGAACATCGTCGCGGTTGCCCAAGGTTCGCCGGAATTTACAACGACACCATCCAAGGAAGTGCGGGAGGTCTCGCTTGAAGTCGGCATGCTTGCTCCTTGTCGCGCACGTAGACTCCTCCGACCAGCTCTGATACCACTGATGTAGAGTACTCTCCTCTACTATTCAGGAACTGGGAATTGTTCTAAGCAGTAGAGCACTCTGTTAGCTTTCCAACGAGCCGTAGATCACCTCGATCACCTAAGTATCGAGCGAGATATGGCTACTAACGTGAAAGCTATGCTCTATGTTGAAGGATTGGAAACTCTCTGGAATTTGTTGTCGAATGCACTGTGTACAAAGTGATTCACGTTTTCCAGTATTCAGCATGCAATACAAAGCAAACAGATTTATAGCATGCAACAAACATCGAGTCGCACAAGTAACCTCGAACCGCGGTACACTCGAATGTTCGAGTAACATTTCGAAGGGGTGAAATTCGAGTCTCGAATTTCACCGAATCAAATTCTCCCTGAGTCTCGATTCTTCTTGTGCTGCCATGTGGCACCGAAATGCAAGTCTCTCGAAGTCAACCTGCACCTTCTCGAGACCTGCAATGAACACATTCGGAAGCAACACATTCGGTGGGTTGGGGGCATATCAATCGCCCCACCACCACCTTGCTTCCAACACACGCCACCTCCAACATGGGGAACGTCACCGGCCTCTCCGCCTAAGGCGGGCGAGTCTTCTTCGCCCGGCGTGACCGTGAGGGCGTGCGCATTGGCGTGCGGTGGCGGCGCCACATTCTGGGGTTGTGGAGGTGGAGCCCTCCACAGCGTGGCAGCCATGTGGATGGCTGTCACGAGGAGTTGCACCGTGTCGCTTAGCTGCCGCAACGCCTGACCATTGCATGTTGTGATTGTATCAGCGATGACTTTCGCTGCCGCCATGGTGGCGGTCTCGTTGACACGGGGACGCTTGGGGCGCAGTGGTGAAGGGGTGCCTGCATAGGGGAGTGGTGGTGTAGGATGCATAATGCCATCGTTTATTGTCATGCAAGGTTATTGATACAATCAAAAGCTTCATAAAATGTGGCTGTCACATGCGCTTGGTGAGTTAGAAAGTTTAAAGGGATAGCACGGATTTGCTAGCTGACACACTTGCCTTCAAGGCCACCGGCCCGCAGGACTTGACGATCACGGAGATTGGTCCTGGGCGTCACCATTCCACCCTCGCCCATGTCGGCGTCATCGCGTATAGGTGCTTCAGGGTCAGCGTGTGTCTCTCCTGCTCCGCCACCATCCAACACGTGCGGCTTAACGTTGGCAGGGAGCTTCTCAATGAGGTAAACATACTCGAACCAGGGTTTCTTCCGCTTGGGCTTGTTCCCTGACGTGCGGTTGTGGCGGAGAGTGTCGCGGTACTCTGCCTCAATGCGCTTCCATGCGTGTTGCATGGCGGTGCTGTTGCGCTTCCACTTTGCGTCGCTTTTTTTCATGTGTGCGCGGAGCTTCTTCCAATATTGATTGCCCTGTTTCCCACGCATCTGCTTCAGATCGTCGCGGGTGTACCACTTAGCAGCGGCCAGTGCAGTAAGCTCCTCATCGCTCCACAGGCGCTTCGATTTCGCGTCACGTTTGCGCTTGCGTGTACTTGGGCCAGCCTCCGAGGCTGCGGGATCCACGTCGGTCTCCTCCTCGTCGCTACTGTCCTTCGCGTTTGAGTTATCGGAGTCGTCCTCGGATCCGCTGGAGGAGACGATCTCCTCGAGATCGTCATCGCTCACGTCGGTGTCACCGCCGCCGTCAGAGCTGTCTGCGTGGGCGTCACGCGCTGAGCTCGGGCTGGCGCCGTGCCGCCTGGGAGCTGCTTCCCGCCTTATTTTACCACGCGTATTGCCGTTCTCGCACTGCTCCTTCATCCACTTGACGTAGGGAGGTTCCTCCCATGGCTCGTCGTCATCTACCTTCGCCTTTCCCTTACCACGGTCTCTCTCCTTACGGGGGGGCATGATGAGGATGAGGTTCTAAACTTGCCTTTGGAACTGCACTGTCGCGTGGAGTGGGGTTTCCTGAAGGTTCACAACATATCTAGATCTGGAGGAGGTGGTGATTACTTTCGGGCGTTCCTATGCAATGAAGTTGGGTGACCCTGAAAGGAGGGGTCATGCACGGTCCTGTCCCGACCAATGGCAGCAGTTGGTGCGCCGGGAATTTTACCGGCATGTGAGAGCTCGAACATGGAGTGTGCGAGCCCAGTTTGCGAGGGAGATTGGGATATGCGATGTGGTGGCTGGACCGTGCGACCCAACCCAACCATGCGATACGTTCGTTCGACCAATCGCCTTGCAGCTTATGTTTGGCAATTTTGTGCCACCAACCTGCTGTTATAGGGATTCGTGGCATCCGCAAAAACCGCCTGCCATCTACAGTGGCCCTGCCACCACCCAGGGATACGCCCTGAGTTCGGACGCCGCATGGTATTGTATCCCCAACACTACTGGGTCAACAAGTAGACCTGATGCCGTGCACTTCCGCACAGCATGGACGGCCTGTTAGGGCGACATCAGGATGCACAGTTCGTATTTTAAGGGCTCGTTTAGGTATAGCGGCTCAAAACAAACTGAAATTGCGGGTTCTTGTTCGGTACACATTCCTGTCGGAAAAACTGTACCCGGGACAAATCCCCGCCAGACCAGGTTCGAGGTTGAGCGACGAAACATTCAAGAAGCACCATATTCGTGTAACCAGGAATTCGTTCGGATGCAACACACAAGCATGGCCACATGCGCAGTCCTCGAGCGAAATTCGCCTTCTTTCGTGAGAACTGCCTGGCTGAAGCTGACACTCGATCGGGCAATGTTCGGCGTCTTGTCGCGAGTGCAAAAAGTCGTGCGAATTACGTTTTGATGCACCAACAAAAACAGCGCTTCATGCATTTTGAAAATTCTTATGGTGTAATAGTGGTTACATTCGCGTTTTTCGGTAACGAGATCCCGCATACGAAAAGTTTTGTGTGCAACCTGAAACCGCCCTTACGTGAAGGATGCTTGTCAGTTGGCTTCAATTCCAACAGCATTGTAACCGTTATGGAAAAAACAACTGCGGATAAAACCAATGCCAGTTAAAAAGGCCTGTTTAAATCTGGAGCTCTTTGAACCTGTTTCACACAATTAAAGAATGGCTGTCGTCGGTGCCTTTTTGCACAATAGCTTTCTATTGCCCGTAATTGGGACAAGATTCGATGAGAGGGGAAACATCTGCTGGTGTGGTGACTGGAGGGCTGCTGGGGCACTGCAGGATGTTAGTTATGGTAGTAAGGAAGGAAAAGGGGTGGGTGGGTGGGTGGAGGGAGAAAGATTTTGAGTCAACTCAAAACAGGGCTGCTGGGGCACTGCAGGGTACCAGACAGCAAGCGAGAAAAATGAGCAACCTCTCGCTTGCTGGTACCATGGTACCACCGGTGGGTGGCAGGGAGAAAGGGAGGAATGATATTTTTATTTGTTGGGTCAGTAGGCAGCATGTGGAAGGGCAATATGTAAAGATGAGAGGGAAATATTATGTCCTGCTGTGGTGAACACAATATGCTTTTTGAAAGGTTGATAATCCCACCCCTCAATGGCTCAAAGTGATATTCTTTTGCAAAAAGACACGTACCAGTACCAATCTATCTCTGAGGCGCTTAAAGAACTGTTACAGCAGCTCAATTAAGCCTTCACCTGATATAGGTGGATCCTAATGTGCCTGCAGTCTATATCTACGGCAGATGGATTCTCACCTGAATATGCCTCGACTTGACGTCGAATATCGACAGGTAGCAAGGCTCGGGGGAGGTTCGGGAGCAGGAGGTTCGGTTGTTCTTGCGCCAGTCGCTGTGGTAGCGGGCAACGATGTTGAGAGAGTAGGGACGAACGCCCGCCAGCCCTGCTGCTATGTAGCCGAATGTGGATGTGTCTGTTATTAGTAGCGTGTCACTGGGGGACGGGAGGAGAGGGAGGAGAGGGATGAGAGGGAGCAGAGGCATGGGACAGGAGAGGCAGGAGGAGAGAAGGGGCAGGGTTGATTCCTCAGCAGTCCTGCTGCTATGTAGCCGAATATTGATGTGTCTGTTATGAGTAGCGTGTCACTGGGTAGAAGGGTGAGGGCATGCGAGCATAGGAGAAGCAAGAGGGGACAAGGGGCTGGGTAAGGGCAGTGGTGGTGAGTAAGTACCAGTGCTGACTTGACTGATTGCGGTGTGGGCGTTATGATTCCCCACCAGGCCTGCTGCTACTTAGCTGAATGTGGATGTGCGTGGAGGCGAGGAAAGGTGTATCCCATCACTATCACAGTGACCTGAGTTGAATGACTTGCTTACCACACGCCCACCACCCCCTACCACCCCCCTACCACCCCCCTACCACCCCCCTACCACCCCCCTACCACCCTCCTACCAACCCCTATCACCCCCTTCGACAACGACCACACACATACCACATGGAGAGCAGCCACATCTCCCTCAAAGCCCTCTCTGCCTGCTTCTTCTCCCGCAGCTGTTGTGCTCCCTCGTGGCTCAGCCTGGGGATGGTAGAAGGAGAGGCACGGGAGGGGGGGTGGGGTGCGCGGGAGGGGCTGGATATTGGATCGACAGTTGAGGGCTGTTTCTCACATGCTGACAGCGATCTCCTGGCCGCCCCTCTGTGCTCATATCCCTCCGCATCTCCCCATACGCTGCCCGCAGCGACTCCACAACCACACCAACACACATGCTTACAGTAATATCTGTCCCCGCGCAAACAAGCGCAAACAAGCGCAAACAAGCGCAAACAAGCGCAAACAAGCGCAAACAAGCGCAAACAAGCGCAAACAAGCGCAAACAAGCGCCCACACAAGCGCAAACAAGCGCAACCAAGCGCCCACACAAGCGCACAGACAAGCGCGCACACAAGCGCACACACAAGCGCACACACAAGCGCACACACAAGCGCCCACACAAGCTCACACACAGACTGGGGGGGTGGGGGTGGGAAGGGGGGGATAACTCACATGCTGACAGCAATCTCCTGCCCGCCCTCTGGCCGCCCCTCTGTGCTCATCTCCCTCAGCATCTCCCCATACGCAATCTCAGTTCACACACAAGGCTTCACCCACTCACTCACATGCTGACAGCAATCTCCTGCCCGCCCTCTGGCCGCCCCTCTGTGCTCATCTCCCTCAACATCTCCCCATACGCTGCCCGCAGTGACGCCACAAACACTCCCACACTCCCCCCTTTCCTCCTCCCCTCCCCACCAGCTAATCTCTCCACCTCCGCCTCTTCACCATTCCCGTCCTTGCTTCCCAACATCTTCGTCTCTTCTAATTTCTTCTCGTCTCCCTTCTCGCCTGTCTTCTTGACGGCATCGTCTGCTTTCACATGCTCCCCGTTTTCAATCTCGTTCTTCTCCCCTTGCTGCTGGCCTTGCCCCTGAAGCAGCTCCTGCTCTCCCAGTACTTGGCTCGGGAGGGAGGTGTTGCTGGGAGGTACCTGCATGCAGGGAGGGTGACAGATGGAGGGAGGGAGGGACAAGGAGTCATAGATAATCAAAATATGAACGATGCCCTGATCCACTCCTCATAATCTTCTCCTCCCTTCCACACTTCCTAATATACCCGCTCGCTTAGCTTCGCCTCTCAACTGATAGCCTGACTGACTGACCAACTGACTGACCGGCAACTGAATGAGTTACCTGACTGACTTACTCAATTACATGTCTGGATGGTGTAGTCGGTTATCACGCCAGTCTCACACACTGGAGGTCTCCGGTTCGATTCCGGGTTCAGACAAATAAGAATATCCTTTTTGTTCCGTATCTTCGCCCCGTCGCATCCATGCATGACTTGAAGCCATTACAAGCTACCACGTGGACTTATTTCTCAGTCACTTCCACCGCAGCTTCTTTCTAAAGACTCCAGGGTTTCGCCCTCAATCAACGTGCCTCGGAATTTGGTTCCCCTGTGGAGCATTTCTTGTCCGCGCAAGAATGCTGTACGGCTTTGAGGGGTGTGTGCTTCAGTGTGCGGGGGAACGGCGGCATGGCACGTGGATTAAAGACAAGCTGTGGCCAGGGAACTTGAGCACAAGAGGTCCACGTCAGTTTAAGGAGGGCGGGATTGAGTGCGTAGTACGGACCAACAAACCGACAGACTGACTGACCTGCTTCGTCAGCTTCTCCCAGTCCTCGTGTGCCATAATGGGGGCCACCACTTTAGTCACGTTGACCATGCAATCCACCACCCGCTGCAGCACATCATCAGCTGGTACGTACTTCTGGAACTCACGGATCTGAGGTGTGTGTGTGTAGGAGAATAAGGAGAGTGTAATCGGGCATCTCATACAGAAGGCACAGCATCACCCTCTGCACAACATTGTCAGCTGGCACGTACTTCTGGAACTCTCGAGCCAGAGGCGTGTGTGTGAAGGATGGAGAAGAGCGAGTTAAGGATGGGTGAATCCAGGAAAGCGATTCTTTGAAATATGTTGTGATGTGATGTGGGGGGTGAGCTTACCAAGGGACCTGAATTTCGAGCCTGGGTTGCTATGGACGTGATTCTACAAGCCTAAGGCTACATGGACCTGAATGCCGAGCCAGTCCTGGTTTGGTACGAACCTGGATGCCGACCCTGTGTTGGTGCGGGGCGAGGTAGGCTCGGAAGGCGCGGGTGATTTCCTCCCAGAGGTAGTTGGCGGGGTGCAGCAGGTAGCGCCCCACGTGCATCAAAGGCAGGCGGTCGGGGAATAGGCGCTCCAGGTCAGCCTGCATTAGTGGGGGTAGGTTATAGGGGGTTATTAAGAAGGGAGGGGGAGGCGAGAGCAGGACAGGAGGACTCATGCAGCAGCAGGTAGCGCCCCACGTGCATCAAGGGCAGGCGGTTGGGGAACAAATGCTCTAACTCGGCCTGGGGAACGATGAGGAAGCATGGAGGGAAACGCAAGGAGGATCGGACAGGTTTAAGGTTTAGGGTAGTGGGTAGGCTTCAATTTATGAGTCGCTTCAGGAAGGGTGAGCAGACGAGTTGAGTTTACCCTCCAGCAGGCGGCCAAGAGCAGAGAGGGGGAGGAATGCACCAAGGACTTTGAACTAGAGAGGAACAAAGGGAAACGAGGCTTGTTCACTCATCTGTAATAGTGGTGCGTGGAAGAGAGCAGGGAGTAGGTAGCTTCAAACTGTGAGGTGCCTCTAAAAGGAAGACCAGGGTTGTGAACGTACTTGTAAGTGCGGTGTGTGGTAGAGAGCAGGGAGAAGGTAAGCGTCGGTTAGCAGACCGAGGACTCGAACGGAGGAGAGGGAGCCGTGTTGGTACTGCTGGTGGTGCGGACAGAAGAAAGATAGGTCTGCCTCTGATGCACTAGGCACACACACATGCATATCCACACATACAAATGGACACACACACACACGCACACACACACACACACACACAAACACACACACACAAGCACACACACACACACACACACACATCCACCATGCAAGAAATAACGGGGCATGAGGGACGAGAAGCACGGGGAGGGATAATGTGGGGCACGAGAATGTGAGCGTCTCAGGGAATGGTATGGGGTGAGTGAGACAAGGAGGACAGGAGGGCAATGGGAGGAAACGAGACGGGTAGCAGAGGGTATCAGAGGGTAGCAGATGGTAGCAGAGGGCAGCAGAGGGCAGCAGAGGGTAGCAAAGGGCAGCAGAGGGCAGCAGAAGCATACGTGAATTTGAGCTCAACGTAGACCACGTTGACCCTCCCCGCGCTGCTGCTGCTGCTGCTGCTGCTGCTGCTGCTGTTGATTACGGAGGCAGCATCAGCAGTGGCATCCGCAGAAGCAGCTGTGGCTTCAGAGGGAGATCCTGGAGTTGCACCACTTGTTTCCCCTGCAATGGTGCTAACGTTTGTGTTGTTCAAAGTGCTGCTGCTGTTGGTACTGCTGCTGCTGCTGCTACTACTCAGAGCATCCATAGCTGCAGCATAGGCTGGCGTGCCGAACCTCGGAGACTGCTTTGTAATTACATTGCGCTGAGCTCTGGAGAGAGACGGCGGGGTGAATGAGAAAAGAGGAGGGAAGTGGAAGGGGAAAGGAAAACGAAAAAAAAAAAAAAAAAAAAAAAAAAAAAGGGGGGGGGGGGGGGTGGGGGGGGGGGAAGGAAAAGTATCAAAGCAAAGGGAAGAGAATGGGGGGAGAGGAAGTGGCAAATGAGAGTAGGGAGGGAGTAGAAATGGCACCAGAAGAAAGGGAGGAGAAAGGAGGAGAGGGATGAAAAGACACAAGGCAGTTTGACACAAGAGGGTCAGCACTCAGCGCTCAATGCACGCAAAGGTGGGCGAGTCATAGGCATCCAGATAAACGGGGAGAGGGTGAACGCCAAGGAATCGCAGAGGAAACAGTTTGAGACACAAAGGTCAGCACCAGGGCTCTCGATTCATTTTTGGGCACGCTGCCTGATCCGAGTTGTGACCCACTACACCCTGCCTCTGCAGTGTGCCTTGGCAGTCGTACCCAAGAAATGGCAGTGTTTTTTTTTTTTCGAGGTCGAACCTAGCAGGGTGGAAAATTCGAAAACACTGCCTAGCAAAAACCTTTGGGTCCCGCAGTCGACACTGCCATTTCTGCGCTCCTCCCAGGAGCCAGAAAATCTGGTCGAACTGAGTCTTCCTGGCTAAACTCGAAGTGTGTACCCCAACTGAAGAGAGGGTGCTCGTCTCTATGCGTCAGTGCGTGGTGGTTGAGGTTTTAGTGGTGTAAGGTGGGGAGATGAGAGGCCTGTAGGTGGGTCTTCTTGGTGCGGTCACTAGCGATAACGCGCCACTCTCTGTGCTACAGCTATATCCCTGGTGTTTCAAGGACTTCAGTCACAAACGCTACTGGACACATTTCAGTCACAAACGCCACTCAGTGTGATAGAGCTGAATCTGGTGTTTCAAGTACTTAGCCGATTCTGGAAATTTCAGCCACAAACGCTACAAGGCACATTTCGGTAGTTAGAGAAGTTCTGAAAACAGGGAAAAAGTTGGTAGGGTGTCCGCCGCAACGAGCCGGGAAACGGCAGTGTTGCACGTAAGCGTAAAACAGCATTTGCAGGGTTTGTTTTTAGCCCTGCCTGACGATGACAGGGTGGACGCCCAGCCAAACCCAATTCTAGCAGTGTGGGTCCAAAATTTCACCCTGAAATGCAGGGCAAACAGGGTGAAACGCCCTGCTATCCTGAGCCCTGGTCAGCACCCGGCATCCAGCACTCAACTCACGTGAAAGTGGGCGAGTCCATGGGCATCCACGTGGAGGGGGTGGGGGTGAAGGCGAAGGTTTGGGACACAAGGGGCAGCACTCAGCATTCAGAACTTCAACTCACGCGAAAGTGGGCGAGTCCATGGGCATCCACGTGGAGGGGGTGGGGGTGAGGGCGAAGGGATCGCAGAGGAAGAGAGCTGCCTGTGCGTGCGGATTAATGATGAGCGTGCGATTGGTGAGGAGGGCATAGGTGAATGAGGAGACGAGGGAGAGCAGCTGGTTGCCCAGACCTGCACAGCGAGGGGAGAATGGAAAAAGAAGGGGACAGAGAAAGGGAGAACAGAGAATCGAGTTGATGAATGTCACCGCATCCGCCCCATCAGCTCACGGTGTTTTTCAAGAATTCTCCAAATCACCCCGCATCCACCACCTCAGCTCAGTGACAGTTGTTTTTTCAGTGACAGTTTTAATAGAGAGTATTTTTTAGAATACCCAAAGATACTAGAAATTATATTCGACAGTGGATTGGACTTGTTCAATGACAGGCTTACTACAGGGCGACAGTGAGACGCCTCAAAACGGATTTACCCTCAGACTTCTTAGACACAAGAGGGTGGGGTAACTGAGCTGATGGATATCATCATGCCATTGCCACAGCACAAGCACCCGTCTCATCTCAGATAGGCACTCACCACTGTAGGCGGGGTCGAGATGATAGAGATAAGAGCATTCCTGCACGGAGGATGCATTCACTCCGTCTTTCAGCCCTTTCGTGCTGCACAATGGGAGTTCAGAGGGAGAGTTGAGTAGAGGGAGAGTTGAGTAGAGGGAGAGTTGAGTAGAGGGAGAGTTGAGTAGAGGGAGAGTTGAGTAGAGGGAGAGTTGAGTAGAGGGAGAGTTGAGTAGAGGGAGAGTTGAGTAGAGGGAGAGTTGAGTAGAGGGAGAGTTGAGTAGAGGGAGAGTTGAGTAGAGGGAGAGTTGAGTAGAGGGAGAGTTGAGTAGAGGGAGAGTTGAGTAGAGGGAGATTCGGGCAGGAAATATTTGAGCATGGGAGATTTGAGCAGTGGGAGTTCATAACTAGAGTATGGTGAGAGTGTGCCGAGCACACAAGTACCTAATAATTCAGTCCATGCAAGCAAACGTATGTGATCCAGCCACGTGGCGCTCACGGATTGGAGAGGAAAGCAGGCCAGTCCTTCACACCGTTGATGCACCGCGCCTGCCTCTCTGCATACGCCTTCAGCCGCCCTGCCAGCTCCTCTGTCATTGGCGTGTTGGCAGACGATGGCTGGATGGGCGTCGGAATGCGGACGGAAATGGATAGTGGGATAACACAGTGTGTCTGACTCAGTCCCCTACATATGTCTTCAGCGGCTCCTCGGCCATCAGTGTGCTGCCTGATAGTCTCTGCATGTGAGGGTGTTGCAACGAGGATGGAGCTTCTTCACCAACTCGGTGCCTGCCTCTCTGCAGAGCACACCGTCAGCCACTCTGCCAGCCCTTCAGTCATCTCATCGACATGCTGCCAGGTTATCCCTGCCATAAAGGGTGTTGGTAGACAATGCGCTGGTAGACAATGCGCTGGTAGACAATGCGCTGGTAGACAATGCGGTGGTAGACAATGCCTGCAAGAGGGGGCTGCAACTGCAACGAGAATGGCACAGTTAAGACGTTTCAACGCCTGCCTCAGAATAGATTAACCGCGTCCCGGATTTTTTAGTAGCAAATTCTGACAGGTTGGAAGTCGCTCCTTTTGAGAGAATATTCATCAACATTTTAGCTGACTAAACAGTCACCTTGAATGTATAAGACTCACGGGTTGGTAGTAGCGCCTTTCATGCACACTCCAGCACGAGTTGAACAACCGGTGGTGCTGTGACCTCAAGGCACCATCAGGCTCATACAGCAAGCGCCGAGCAGGGCTCTCTGCATGGCTCCCTGTGTCCAGTCTCAAACTACGTTGCATTATGTGTCTCTTCCTTCCTCGTCTCCGCGCTTCCTTCTGCCCTCCTCCGAATCCTTTCTTTCCTTTCTTACTTTCTCCCTCTCCTCGTTCTCCTCCTCCTCCTTTCTGTAATTTCTTCTCCTCTACCAGCACCTCCACCTGCCTATTTTCTCTCCACCGCAGCCCTTGCTGTACCCATCCCTCCCTTCCTCCCCATCTTACCTGCCACTTAAACGCCTCGCGCCCAGCTTCTCTCTCTGGTCCGTGCTCTATCAGGCCATTCCCTGTAATAGCCTGTTCTACTCCAATATTTGGGGCATGCTCTAGCTCTAGTACTCCCTGATTTCCCCCTGATCCTATCCGTTTTATTTCCCTAACATGCTCTTCCTCGTGTCTGTACGGCGGCGCGAGAACCTCAGTACTCTCCTTGCTGATGTCAGCGTCACCGGCAACAAGGGTAAGATGCACCTGAACGGACAAGCGACAGAGAGGCAGACAGAAAGGATTATTGGAACATGACTGACGGCCTTGAGAGACATGTCCTTTGTATCGTCTGTCCCTGTTGATGTCACCGTCGCCAGAAGCAAGGGAAAGATGCACCTGCAACGGACAAGCAACGGACAAAACCTGACAGGCAGCGGAGGCGAAAACAAGGGGATGTTGGAACAGGGAGGCTCGTCGGCTAGTCTGGGAGCAAGGGTCAACGATTGCAGTATTTCTCAGTCGACTCATAAATCGGTTTTGACACGCAGCAGAGGCGAGCAGAAAGGACGTTGGAACAGGGAGGTTCGGCGGCTGGTCTGGGAGCAAGGGTCAACGGTTGAAGAATGCTGGGAAGTGGGGCAATATACAGCATGACTAGCGACGCTATAGTAAGAAAACAGCCGCGATTATGACGAGCGACCACGCAGGGAGCGACCATGACGAGCGACCATGACGAGCGAACATGCCGAGCGATCCCGCGCTGTAAACAGACAACGGCGGCGACGTACCGGAAAGAGGAGGCCCGTACAAAGCAACACGGCGACGAGGACGAATCGCGACAATCTCATGGTCGCAATTCTTTAGGATTCTCAGGGTAAGGACCATGAACAATCTGGGGTCCAGTAACTGAGTCTCAGCTCATGCGCGCAAGCGTTGCTGCCATGTCATATCAACAATGCGAGTTGCCTAGTTGCGGGCCATGGCAAGAATTTTGGAGTCGAAGTTATGACAGGTAATCGAGAATCCGTAACTAAACAAGTAGCATATCAGTCCCATGCCTCTAGAGATGCGATGGACAAGAAGAGCAACGCCAAACTGGATGACTTAGCGTTGCTTTGATGTTGTATGAAGGTTGGCCTGTCTGACACAAAGGGATTACCGAGCAGCAAAATGTCGTTGAAATTGGCGCGAACCCGCTACAAGTCCACTCGAAGATCGTCGACCCAGAGTATTCCGAACGAGACTGTTCAGCACTTCGATGACTCAAACAAACATGTTCAATAGTTACGAAAATGTGCCTGGAATGTGTATAGCATTCATTGTATCTAAAGTATACATCGATGAAAAGCACAGCATTGATCCGTGCATTGAAGCCACTATCCTGTATAACACCCATCAAAGTCCCCTGTAAAATTGCTTCACAGGGGGCTCTAAAAACTTTCTTAAAGCATGCCAACAGACGACCCAAGACCTCCATCAACATCAACATTTCGTTTCTCTCCACCAGCCCCCAAGGTTTTCCTGCCCCCAGCTAGCCTTCCTGCCAGCCTCTGAACAATCCCCGTTTTACTCACCACCTTCACAAGAAAAAACGCCAGCCTAAACGGGGCACCGACAAGCGGCGAATCAATTAGTGACACCTCACTCCGCTCCACAACCCCTGCTCCCCTAACCACAACTTCACCAGCACCACCCAGACCCACACCACCAGCTCCACCGCTAGCAGCCACAACCGAACCAGCTTCATTCACCATCCCTTGCGTCCTCACATCTCCTACAATCCCATTTCCTACAGTCACAGCGACTGCTCCTGCCCCTCCATCCATCCTCCCTCCTCCTGCTCCTTCCAATTCTCTCTCACTGTAAGCCACAGGCCAGATGGCAGGGTACCGGTTGGAGGATTCAGACAGAGTAGGGGTAGGCTGCTGTGCACAGAGCGCTGCGCAAGGCGGGGGGGCACTGCGCACCACCGGCAGGAGAGAGGAGGCGTCTGCAGCAAGGGAGGAGGAGGACGAGTGTGCAGACTGCAGGAAAGTCAAAGGGCCCTGTGCTGTGAGAAAACTGCTGTGACTGCCCCTGGGATCCTCCCCAGCTGCACCAGATGCAGTATCGGCGGCACTGGGGAAACCACCATCCGTTGCAGCAGCAAACGGTGCAGATGGGTGCAGAGCGGTTGGGCGAGGGGATGGAGACCTGGAGGACTCGTCCTGAATATTCTGGCTCATATGAGCAGCTGCGACCCTCCCCTGGTTACCACCTACACCCCCTGCCAATGCTGCCTGATGCTCCGACCCCAATCCTGCCAAGTCAGCTGCAAGGGTGTACTCAGATGCTGACGTGGCACGCACTGGCAGTGCTGTCGATGCAGCTGCTGCTGACCTTCCAGAGAAAGGAAGCTTGAGAGAAGAAGCAGGGGGGGTAGAGAGAGAGGAGGTGGGGAAGGACAGCTGGGAGTGTGCAGAGGAGGAGGAGGGGGAATTGTCCTCCACTACTGCTGCTGATGCCCTTGTTCTCCCTGCTGCTGAGGTGGCATGAGCTGGAAGAGGCTGAGTCAGCACAGGAGACAGGCTGGCATGGATGCTCTGAGAGCTTGCGGGTGCTCCAGAAGGGGTTCCTGGGATGACGGTGGTCCGCATGGTGGCAACCAGATTCGCTATCAGCAGCTTCTGCTCGTTCATCTGCACATGCACCAAAGGGGTTACACATATTGGTATACAGAAATTTAAATCAATAAGCGGCAAAAAGGTCACTCACTAGGCCTCTGAACCAGGTATAAGGTGTTCGTAAAATGCTTAATGGGATAAGAAAACACAACGGATAGCATTAAAAGGGCACCCACAGAGCCGAAACATAGGCTTTAACATCAACCCACCTGCTGCACCAGGCGCTCGTTCTCCTCCACGAGGTTCTCCACAGTCTCAGCAGCAGCCGTTGAGATGTCTGGAAACTAGATACACAGGCTTTAAGACGATAACCCACCTGCTGCACCAGGCGGGCGTTTTCCTCAACAAGTTTCTCCACAGTGGCAGCAGCAGCCGCCCTCTCCACCCTGGCGTCCTCTGCTGTCTCCAACACTCGCTCCATGGCACTGGGATCTCCACTGAACCACCGGTTCCACCCCTGTTGAGGTGGGTGGGAGGGGACAAGACAGGGACAGAAAGGTTATGTTTTGCTGCTCTCTCCACCCTCGCGTCCGCTGCTGTCTACAGCACTCGCCCCATGGCACTGGGATAACCACTGAACCGTCAATCACCCTTCGCATCCCATAGCACTGCATAGTACCTTCTGCTGGACTCCCCGTGGCCTCTGCCCGCGTCCAACTCCTACTAGCCGCCTTTCTCTCCAGCTGCTGCATCGCCATGTGAACCAGACACCTCAAGTTTCGCCCTAACACTGCATCCCACCACACCGCGTCACACAGCACCGCATAGTACCTTCTGCTGTACTTCCATGGTGGCCTCTGCCCTCGTTCGGCTCCGAATGGCCGCCTTCCTCTCTAGCTGCTGTATCGCTGTGTGGACCAAACACCTCAAGTTACCCCACAGCACCCCATAGAACCCCATAGTACCCCACACACCTTCTGCTGGACTCCCATGGTGGCCTCTGCCCGCGTGCGGCTCCTGATGGCCGCCTCCCTCTCCAGCTGCTGCATCGCCGTGTGAACCGCCGCCAGTCGCGCTGACAGCCGCCGCCTCTCTCCTTCCAGCCGGTCTGACTTGTCTCGAAGGCGAGACACCTGAGGGCAGGGGGCGGGGGGTGTGGGCGGGGGGGAGTAAATGGGGGAGATGAAAGGAAAGACGGGCAAAGTGTGAACCGCCGCCAGCCGCGCTGACAGGCGCCGTCGAAATTAATCGAGTCGAATGCACCCACCTCCGTTTCGAGGCGAACGTTGACCTCCCTCAGCCGCACACCTAGCTAACCTGCTAGCTACCACGCACCTTGAATGCCTCTTCCCGTCCATCCCCCACCCACCTCGCCCGCCAAGCACCACTCCTAGCCACTTTGAACGCACGCGCCTCCGCTTCAGGGCGAAGTTTGGCCTCCCTGAGTTGCACACCTAGCTAGCGTGATAGTTGTCTACTCTTGGAATTTCTCAAAATGACACAAACATCGTCAAATTCCGAGACAGACGAGTCAAATGCACACACCTCCGCATCGAGGCGCACGTTGGCCTCCCTCAGTCGAACCAGCTCCACCTGCAGGCCGGGGAAAAACAAGCACACGACAAAAAAAAAATAAACATTACGCATTCTCTAATGAGAGGAGAGGGAGGATGGAGAGAGGAAAGAGAAGCACTATTTATTATTGAAAGAGAAGGAGGAGATGGTGGGGAGAAGGGGTGTGGTGGAAGGATAGGGTGGAACCGGGGAAGAGAAGGGAAGGGAAGGAGTTGGCGGAGAGGGAGTCACTGACAAGGTTAGCGAAGTCGTCTGTAACGCGTCCCTCCTTCCGTTTGCTGCGAATCGCCGCCGTCAGATCATCCCTGGTTTCCAGTAACGAAATGTCCTTCCCATACCGCCCCGTCCTGTGCTTCGCTACCTGACCCCTCCGCTCGCCTGCCTCTAGATCCTCACCATGGCCCCCTCCCTTGGGACTCCCGTCTAGGCTCTCCCCTTGTCTCCCGCCGTGGCTTCTTCTTTGCGTTGCCGCTGCTGCTTGCACGTGCGCTAGCAAATCTGCGGATCCTGCCCGAGATTGGTAGAATTTTGTCGGGCTGCCCGCAGTTGCCGAGCCCGGCCGTCGTATCTGCAGGTTTTTCTTTGGGCTGCCCGCGGTTGAGTGGGAAAGAGATCCCGCAGACGTGGAGGGAGAGAGGTACACGTCACTCCGCTGCGAAATAAGTGGCGTGATTCGCAGACGAGAATGCACAGCGTACGTCCCCGATATAAGCATGTCGTGTCCAGACGGATCTCCGCGCGATTCTAACGCGGCTGCTCCAAGGCTTAGCCTTTTTGCTCTTGCTAAAAGTTCCAAGTCTGTATTGAGTGACGATTCATTTCCTCCTCCCCAACTTAATCTCCCTCCAACCGAACCGCCTCCATCTAAGCCAGCCGTAGCAGCTACTGGAATCTGACAGCTTCCGTCAGAGCTCCGGCAAGTTCGGGGACCCGGACTGCTGCAGACAGATCCGTCACCGTCACCGTCAACGTCAACTCGTAGGGCGGTCTGACCTTCATGGCTGTCGTTACTTGTTTGGCTCGCGGCCTTATTATTCGAATGTTTCACATTTAAAGGGAATTCAAACTCCCGTTGTCTATCCGCCGCGATTTCCGCAAGCGATGAGGTAAGCTGCTCAATCTGCTTGCTCGTCGCGGGAGCCATGGCCAGCCCAATGCCTAGACCTATATTATAGTCGACTTAGAAGCCGACAGAGCCATGATCAGATGGATGCCTGGATAATTATTCGCCCAAAACAAAGTCATCACACGTACTCCAGTCGACTAATATGGTCAGTTAGACGCCTCGAGAAATGGTGTCGTGCTACAAAATCAGTAATGTCCTGCACTTCCTATCAAGTCTGCTGCTAGGCGATAGCAATTCTGGTGAATGTGGAGGTCTCGTGCACGGCCTGGTTGCTTCTGGCTGAGCCATGGCTGATGACGAAAAAAACAAAAAGACACCAGAAATAAGGCACCAGAAATCGAGGTAATAAAAGCATGGACAAGCAGTGTCAAGGACGAGATGAAGCTGCTTTCTAGACTAGTTCGGTAATGGCGGTTACCATTCTTCCACCTTAGGGAACTTGTGGGTGTGTAATCGTTCACTCCTATGCCGTTTGGTAAGATACTGTGCGTGTCAGAGCGGTTATGTACGTTCCAGAATGGTTGGTTGGTTGGTGACCGAATATTATTTGTGACACGGTTGGTTGGACTCTCTTGGTTAGGTTGAGGCAACCTCGAGGTTTATGGTGGACTTAGTGTTGTGATGTGATGCGAGCCGTCGATCGTACACAAATCAGCCTCATAAAAAGCACCCAACCACCCACGGAAAAGGGTTGTTTGGAGGGGCAAAGCAACGTTTCGTATCCGGTTTCTTTGAACGACTGGGGTCAATTTTGTAAAAATCGACTCCATTTCAGTCCCGGAAAACGAAACAAGCCACACTTAGCGGCTCATTTGTGTGGCTTACAGAAGCGGGCGTTTCCTCGTGCCTTTCAACGGGCCCGATAATTTCAGTTTTGGACAAGCCCTGGTCATGACAGGCCAAGCGCATCTCCGTGACTTGTTGATCCTCCAATGTGCCTAACCCGCAGATTCAGGAGTGTGAAGAAGCCTCTGACAGGCTGTCACCTCACCTCCATAATGGTGGGACAAAAAGAAGCGATTCGTCAGTCTTCGTTAACGGGAGACCCGTGAAAATCGATGGATTAACCACTTTTAGAAAACAAATATATTCAACTACACTTGCTGCAAAACATCTCAAGCATATCGGTTGAATCACTCATTCCAGCATCAAATGGCGGTAGTGACGACCACGGCAAGCTCTCATCAAGTATTATTTGGCAGTTTGATAATTACCAAGTCGAAGCCGTTCATTTATAAGCCTGAAAGGTACAACCAGCCATGTGAGGCGAGAAACAAACATCCATACATAAGTGCAAACAAATCGGAGCAAGTGCGCATTTCTTAGAAAAACTCACCAGCGACTGAGACATCGTTGAAAAGCGACCGACGTTGGTCGGACGTACATGGGATCCCGTTGCTGGTACAACAATCCAACCTGATAACAAGTACGCAGGGGAGATTTTGAGCGCATGTCCTCGCCTAAAAGGCAGTGATACATTATGTACCAAGCGCATGAGCTGTGAAGCCAACATGGCAAATATGGCAGGTGCGGCACTAACAGCAGTAAGTGAATTCATTAGGAGCTGCTTTGAAAGAGAGGTAAAAGGTTTAATACGTATTTCAATCTCTTCACTAAATGAAAACATGTTAGAGTGATTGATTTGCAAATGGCACTCCTCACCTTGAGCATCGCAGCAGCTGCTGGATCCTCCATAAATTCTTCCCCTGAGTCTTTGCCATAATTCACCTGCATGTGGAAAAACACATGGAGACAAACGATAATTTCCACCTGCAAATGAATAGCCTTAGGAATTTCCACCAGTTCCTGATCGCATGGCATTGGAGCGACAAAAACAACCCATCTTGCTCTCAGCTTGTAAGAGGCACATCAAACCCAGCAGCAAATCTCAAACAATGCAGCAGCAGCAGCAGCAGCAGCACAGCTTACCCCGAACTCGGCAGATGCCAGTGCATAAACGAAATCCATCATCTGAAACCGCGCCCACTCCCTCAGCTGCCGTCCGTACTCCCCTTTCTCCTCCTCCTCCATCCATCCCTCCTCCTCTTCCTCCTCCTCTTTCCCACTCCTCACAGAAACCTCTTCTGGCACTTCACTCTCCTTGGTAAACCTTGATTCATTCTCTCCCTGCGTGTCTCTTTGTAATGCTTCCTGCCTCCCATGCACATCCCCTTTATTGACCCCATAACCAGACTCTGGGCTCTATCTTTTCCTCTTCTCCCCTCCCTCCACTCCACCCACCGCCTGACCCACGTTCCCGGGGCATTTCCCCAGGGGCTGCCGAACCTGGCCGCCCACCGAGGCTGTTCTCCCGAAGCTAGCTGCTCTCCGAACCTCTCGAGGTGGGCGAGTGCTGCTAGCATGGCTGGTTCAACCTCTTTTGCCTGTGCAGCCAAAACAAGAGAAAACACAGGAGAAACGACGAGCAGAGAGGTGAGAGAGAAAGAAAAACAATCAAACTCAATCCTAGCACATAGTCTCATACCCCCCAACATCCCCAACCGCCTCTTCCTCCCCTCATCACATCTACAAATAGGTACGCCAGGTAGTGGTCCCCACTGCAAAGCTAACCACTCGCTCAAACTCGTCCTCCTCTTCCCTCGACACTGAACCACCCCTCCACCACTCAAAACCATAAGCCACGTACATGCAGGTAAGCATGGTGGCGGCACCTTTTGAGGCGCCTCAAAAATAAACTCTGAACCACCCCTCCACCACTCAAAACCATAAGCCACGTACATGCAGGTAAGCATGGTGGTGGCACCTTTTGAGGCGCCTCAAAAATAAACTCTGAACCACCCCTCCACCACTCAAAACCAAGCCACATACATGCAGGTAAGCATGGTAGAGGTCCGCTCCGTGCAGCTACCCATGTGTTCAATCTGGTCCTTCTCTTCCCGCCAGCCGGCCCACAGCACACATACATGCACGCACCCACACCCACTCAGCAACGCCCCTCTCCCATTACCCCCAGCACCGTACATGCAGATACGCCAGGTAATGGTCAACGCAAATATCCACTCGCTCAAACTCGTCCTTCTCTTCCCACCAGCCAGCCCACAGCACACACCCACACCCACACCCACCCATACCCACTCCCCAACGCCCCTCTCCCACTCCCCCCTTCAGACATTCATGCAGGCAAGTCAGCTAGTGATTCCATGCAGCTATCCACTTGCTCAAACTCAGACCCTGTCCACCTCAACCCCTCTAAACCACCTTTCACCACTCTAAACCAACACATACATGCAAATAAGCTAGGTAATGGTCCACGCAGCTGTCCACTCGCTCAAACTCGTCCTCCTCTTCCCGCCAGCCTGCCCACAGCGAATGAAACTCCGCCAGGTGGCGCGGGTTGGAGCCAATCGCAGCTTCCACCACCCTCCACTGCGATTGGTCAGGCAGAAAGAATATGATGAAGGGGAGGAGGCGGGACAAGGGTGGGGGTGGGGGGGAAGGGAAACCAATTTGCAGCTGCCATTACCCTCCTCTTCAGTCGGTCAGGCAGGGGAAATAAGGAGAGAAAAAGGGAGGAGGTGGGGCAGTGAGAAGGTGGGGAAAGAGCCAATCAGAGTTGATAGCATACCACTCTCCACTGCAGTGGGAGAGGCGGTGGGAGAGGCGGTGGAAAACACAAGTGAAGGGGAGAACGGGGCAGGCCAGGGGTTGCAACTGCCACCTCTCCATTGTAATCAACGGATCAGGCAGGGGAGAAACAAAACGAAAAGAACTGAGAATGAATGACAGAAGGGGGCACTCCTCCTGTGGTGGAATCACAGAGATGGGATCAAAGAGGCAAAAAGGTGAGAAGGAAGGCCCATGGCAGCTGTGGGGGGACATTTGGGGGAGACATGTCTACTGCGTGAATACCTGGAGGCGATATTTGAGTCGACTCAGTAAGGGGAGTAGCAACCCCACGTACCTGGAGGGGAGTGAAGGTTGATGGAACGAGGTGCACGGAAGCTTCCTCTGGAAGCCAACCAAAGAGCTGTGTCCAAAGAGGCAGGTGGATACGGGGAAGAGGGATGGAGGTTCGGGGGAAGAGGGATGGAGAAGGTTGGGGGAAGAGGGCTGGAGGTTCGGGGGAAGAGGGATGGAGGTTCGGGGGAAGAGGGATGGAGGTTCGGGGGAAGAGAGATGGAGGTTCGGGGGAAGAGGGATGGAGAAGGTTGGGGGGTGAGGGGGTCAGGGGTGCAGGGAGTATTTTCTGGATTAACAGTAGAGGAAAAAACAGCAATGCAGGAAGGAGAACAGTAGCAGGAGCAGGAAGGAGAACAGCAGGGGAACAGGGAGAGGATGAAGAGTAGGGAGAGTAGGGGGAGTAGGGGGAGTATGAGTAGTACGGGGAGTGCCATCAAAACATGCATGCACACACGCATCCGCAAATGCGCCCCTGTGTGCGTGCACACGCGCACTCACCTCGTGTGGGTGGAAAAGAGCCTGGGTGCCAAAGTCAGCAGACAGCTGATCAGAGTAATAGCTGTGTCGCAAACACACAGTGACACAGGGAGGAAAGGGGGTGGGTGTGAAGGGGAGGAGGTTGAGGACGTTCGTTTTTGTTCTTCTTCTTCTTTATTGAAATGCATTATGACATGCACACATCCACACTTGTAACTGGCTGGGAAGGAACATACATAACGAGATGTTCCCTTTTGAGCAGAAGGAAAGCAGCAACCTTGGTGCTGGATTTGGAGCTCTGGCTGCAGCCCTTCAAAGGAATTATTCAAGAATTTCCGAGAGAAACAAAAGAAACCTACAACAGAGGGGTGGGGTGAACACCAGGCTTCCTCACTGTGCCACACGGTCATCGACACGCCACACACACACACGACTTCCTGATTTTCTAAGCGCCTCAAACAAAGAAGCCTACAAACGAGGGGCAGGGCAGGCACTTTTGAAATTTCTCAAAAGAAAAACTCAGAAGTCAAAAGAGGGGCAGGGCAGGCATCAGGCTGCTTTCTCGGTGTGAAACGGCCCTAAGCATGCCACACACACACCCTTCCTAATGAATCATGGTTCCATGAAGCACACCTGTTGGAGGAGCACAGGAGCACCCTGGGTGCTGCGTCTCTCCCTCTCGCTGTGGCCTCGAGTAGGCACAGCAGCAAGGCGTCGTGGAAATCCGCCCCCTCGCACAGGCTTGATGGTGCTGCTCGTGCTGCTGCTGCTGGTGGTGATGGTGGCGCTGGTGCTGATGATGGTGATGGTGATGGTGATGATGATGGTGGTGCCGGTGCTGGTGTCGATGCTGCCTCAGTGAAACCTTGACTGGATGGTGCATGGCGCAGCAGGTGGAATCCGTTGATTGCCAGGATTGGCTGCAAGCAGGGGGTTGGATGGGCACACACACGCACACAGAGGCAACAGTAAAATTAGAGAGTGTGGGTAGTGAATGGCACACGGACCGATGGTTCATGGCACATGGCTTATGTTGCATGGTTTATGTTGCATGGCGCATGGCTTATGTTGCATGGCGCATGGCTTATGTTGCATGGCGCATGGCTTATGTTGCATGGCGCAAGCAACACATGGAATCTGTTGATGACCAGACCAGAATCGGTGTTAGTTGAGGGATGGATGGGTACAGACTGCACACACACACACAAATGGCTGGTTCGTTAGAGTGCAGGTGGCATATGGAAGGTTGGTGCATGGTGCATGGTGCATGGTCCATGGTGCGTGGTCCATGGTGCATGGTACAGCAAGTGGATAAATTTGCTGCTCTTCGCCCAACAGAGGCAGCTGTGGCATGGACAACAAGCAAATCAATCAGCAGCCCACTCCATCCAACAGCCGCCTCTGCATCCCCTCTCCATCCCACACTGCCGCTCACACACACTCACCTGAAAGGGTTTATGCCGCCATCTCAGTTTGCTGCTCCTTCTCGTGCCTCCCGCCACAACAAGCAAGTCAATCAGCAGCCCACTCCAGGCAACAGCCGCCTCTGGATCCCCTCTCCATCCCACACTGCTGCTCACACACACTCACCTGAAAAGGTTTATGCCGCCATCTCAGTTTGCTGCTCTTTCTCGTGCCTCCGGCCACAACAAGCAAATCAATCAGCAGCCCAGTCCAGGCAACAGCCGTCTCTGCATCCCCTCTCCTGCGCCCGAACCTGCCTTCCAGGCCCGGCCCGGACCTCCCCTGCCCGAGGCTGTTGTCCAGGTTCAGTCCCGACCTCCATCGCCGAACCTCCTGTATCCGGAGCAGCTGCTTGGCAAGGCACATGCTGACGATCGTTGATGCGGAAGGTTCGGAAAGAGAAGCTCTGTCTTCACTCTGTTGATTTGACTCTCCTCTTGATTCTCTTTGTGCATTTTCAACCAATTCCTGTGCCCAGGCCTTCAGTAAGAGGTGATCTTCGTTATAGCCCCATCCCGCACAGTCACCATCACATGATGCTCCAGACACATGTTGTGAATGCGCCAGCTGCTGCTTCTCCTGCGCCTGTAGCTCCTGCAACCTCCTCTCCACCAATCGCAAAGACTCTTCCCAGAGCTCCTCCACCCCCTTTCCCTGACACCTCCCCTTTTCCTCCCCTTCATCCCCATTCCTTCCCCCAAATCCCCCAGTTTCCCCTGACACTAGCGTCCCTAGTGCGGTTACCACGTGCACGCGCCGCTGCAGCGCTTGGAGCAGGTCGTGTGACTGTAGGCGCCTCTCTTTAATAGCACGCAGCACGAGGGTTTCTAGAGCTGACTCGATGTCCAGGCGAAGGGAAGACAGCTGCGGTTGAGGAGGGGGTGTGACTGTATCGAGGGGTGAGGCTGCATTGATGTTTGGTGATGTATTGAGCGGTGTGACTGTAGAAGAATGTGTGGATGTGGGTAGGGTGGCAAGTGGAAGCATCCAGGAAGGAAGCCATGGAATCTCTATAACTTTTGAGCTAGGAGCCGATGAGGCTTCGTGTAAGGTTTGGTGGGAGGCTTCGTTAGTAGCTGGGTGAGACGTTTGGCTTGAGATGGGGGAATACGGTGACGTGTGGTGCTGTGGTGTGCAGTGCGGTGAGGAATCAAGTGGCGAGGGGGGAGTGAGATGCCTTTCCAGGTCGACGTATGCCACTGGAGCACCGCTCTTAACCCATCCGTCAACCAAATCTGCACAGAGCAAGCAAGGTGAAGTGATTAACTGGAATGATGACAAGAACCTAATGAGATTTTTTCCAGAGAGATTAACTAGAACGGTAGAGGGTGATGAATAAGGCAAAGGGTAACAGAAATAGTTCTACCAGAAAATTTGAGGTTCATGAGAGACCAACTAGAAGGGTAGCAGGTAATGAATAATAGACTCAATTGGGTAGTGTGCTTAATTAGGTAGTGTGCGTTTGTGAACCGAAACGCCTGATCACATGAAGCAGATGAATATTGCGGATCAAATAAAATGCCTGATTTCTTTCGAAATAGTGTTTCTTACGCATACTTAACTTCCAGGAAGATTCTCTTCCCCATGCCTCTCGACACGTGCAACACTACGATCGCCTGAAACACCTGACCGGCCTGATACACCTGAACGCTCTGAATCCGCTGAATCCAGTCAATCATTTGGATCGTTTGAAGCATAAAGGTATTGTTTTCTATGCCGACCAACCCACCTTCCAGCATGCTTCTCTTTCCCACGCCTCTTGGCCCGTGAATCACCACGGACCTCTCTGATCCATCTGAATCCAAATGATCCAAATTATCTGAATCAGCTGATAACGTCGACTTATGAGAGAAATGTCTTTCCGGAAACCTACCTTCCAACATGCTTCTCTTCCCCACGCCTCTCGGCCCATGCACCACCACGATCCTCCGCGGAAGCCCCTTTCCGGATACCCGCACGCCCACCTCCAGCGCGGGTCCCCCCAGCAGCTTCCCCCACCCGATCTCCCCCTCCGCCACTCCCCCGCCCCCCGCAACTGCTCTCCGCACCACCTCCCGCGCGGCTGGCCGCGATATCCAGTTCCATGCCGCGCCTTCTGCGCACGGTGATCCTTCCGCGCGAGCTGGTGCTTCCGCCTGTGGTGATCCTTCCGCGCGCGGTGATCCTTCCGCAACTGCTGATCCTTCCGCGCACGCGGATTCGTTCACGGGCGTTGCGGAAGCGGTACTAGCGGAAGCGGAAAGGGCTCGGACTACGAGATTCTTAAGAAACGGCGATGATTGGCTTTCGCTCGACAGCTGCGAGTGCATACGCAGTATTGACTGACTCTTTAGCACCAATGGTCGACGCATGGTCGCTGCTTGCGATGATTCTAGGCTGGTCTCAGGCCCAACGTTTCTGGTCTCAGAACACCCCTTCACCTCTCCACTACCGCAGCGGCCCCCTTCTCCACACATTCCAGTCAGCTTCTGGTGTTCGTCAAGGCGACCCTTGTGGCCCTTTCCTTTACGCCCTAACACAGCAGCTAGCCATCCAACCAACCCAGCAGCACTCTCCCTCGATTTTCGTTACCTCATACGCAGACGATACCTACTTGGTCGGCCCTCCCTCAGACGTCTTTTCCGCATACACTGACCTTACCTCCCGCCTTCTCTCTCTTGGCCTTACTGTCCAACCCTCTAAGTGCTCTCTATGGGCCCCTATGGACTTGCCCGAACACTGCATTCCGCCCCCGGGTATTTCCATCGTTGCAAGCGGTCTCACTGTGGCTGGAGTTCCCACCGGCTCAGACGGTTTCATCATCTCTACAGTTCGTCACAAACTCGATTCTTTCACTACCTCCCTCTCTTTACTGCATCAACTGCAGGACCCACAGATTGCCTCACGGATCCTTTCCTTATGCATCACTGCCCGACCTTCTTTCCTCCTCAGAACTGTCGCACCTTTTCCCGAAATCCAAGAGCTACTCTCTTCATGGGACAGCACCATTTTCAGCCACTTCTCTCAGCTCTTGGGCTCCGAGTACTGGAATCCCACCTCTGAACAATCCACATCGGCCCGCCTCCAAGCCTCGCTCCCTATCCGCTTAGGTGGCTTCGGCATTCGCAGCTCTGCATCCATTGCCCCCCTCAGTTACCTTTGCAGCTGGGCGCAGGCAGTTTCGACCCTATCCACCCACTTCATCACTGATGGTACTCCTCTTTTCCGCCCTTACGTCACCACGGACTCCATTAACCTCCTTGACCCTTCAATCTCATCTACCATGACCATGCTTCCCCAAGACATTCGTGATCGCTTCCCATCATGGCCTGTGCTTCAATCGGGCTACCCTCCTAAACTCTTTACTCACCTCTCCCAACACCTCGAAGCCGATTTGCTGGAGAAGGTTCGAGCCACAGTAACGTCCCCGCTTCGCCTTGCTCGTCTAACCTCTTTGCAGGGCCCGCATGCAGGTGACTGGCTCACTGTGGCTCCATCCTCCCCGCACATGCAGCTTTCAGAGACCGAGTGTCGCATTGCAGCAGCTATCCGCTTAGGCCTTCCTCTTCCTCACCTTTCATCTTCACTCACCTGCACCTGCAACTCCCCGTTCACTGATCCTTCCATCCATTCTCATGTTCTTCGCTGCCCTAGCAACAACGAGCCTACTAAGGTGCACGACGCAATCAAACGAGAATTTCATCGCATTGCCTTGGAGCTTGGGTACTCTGCGCAGATGGAAGACCAGCATCTCCTGCCTGGCCGCCGCACAGATATCACGTGCCGCGACATTAGCTCTGGTACCACCTGGGCCTTGGATGTTTCTGTTGTTGATCCACAAAAAGGGTTTCCGCACTCCAACGCAGCTACGGTGATTGGTTCAGCAGCAGCCACTCGTGAAAGTGAGAAGACCACCCACTATGCTGCAGCACTTCGTGACCGTCCAGACGTCAAACTGTTTCCCCTTGTCATCGAAACCTTCGGTTGCTTCGGCTCATCGTTCAACAATTTCCTTCGCCAATGCAGCCGCAAAGGGGCTTCACAACTCCGCGACTTGAGTGGTTCTACAGATTCTCTTTCCCTGCTGTTTGAGACCAACTTCTTCAAACGGATTTCTCTGGTCCATCAACGTGAGCAGGCTCGCACTGTTTGTCGTCGTGCACAAATTCGTTTGATCGAGGGCATCAACCACGCACCACCTGAGGTGACTTCTCTTTCTGCAGCTGACTTTGCCTACTTTGGAGAGGACCACTGAGACATCTCAGAGGCCTATTTGTAGGTCTCACAATAGGATTAGCCTGCATGTCTTTTCATACACTAGGTTCCTGGATTTGTCTTGTATCCATTGTACATTTACTATAGTGTCAATAAAGGGACAGTGAGGAAGTGCGTCTGGAAATTCAACCACTGAATTCATTTGAAAGCTATTGAGTGGTATATAAAAGTGGCTCTTTGGTTTATATCGAATGTAGCCCAAATCGAGAATTCATTTTCAACCAGACCAGACCGATATTCGCTGACTTCCACGATTCATCAATGCAGCATTTCTTCGTCCCATTTCCGTGGGTCCAATTGACTACGCACTGTTCACTCGCCAGCATCCACGTAGCACACCAGCCAGGCAATGCCATTGTTGCCACCAGGGTTCCTCCGCATCGCTTCGTCTGTCGTGAAAAAATGTCGCATGCCACTCCCACACGCCAATCGGGTGCTTCCGCTTTCCACCAAGTGTTTTTCGGCAGTCCAATTTCATAAACATTGCTGGCATCCAGGACTTGTTTTGCTTGTATTTTGAAGTCCTACTTTCTAGACAGAGCTGTACAAGTCCCACGTATGGAAAACTCCCAGCTACAAAACCCTCCAGCCAGGCACCGCCAAAATCACTACCCTTCCGGCGTTCAAATCAAACCCTCAACTCGATGTACTCCGATGAGAACATTGACATGTCAGAATCAAGACAGCAACGCAAGTGCCATATTTCAGGGCATCTCCTGACTGGGCAGGTGTTTATTGAACTGCTTTGCTGTCGGCTGAAAGACTCCACTTTTCGGACGTGATCGCATTGCGTGGAAAATGTCGCGCGATCCCTTCCCTTCCCTTCCTCCCGTTGGTTAGCTGGGTTGGGAGTGGACCGACTGCTGGGTTTGGGTTGGGAGAGTGAGAGGGAGGTTGTGGCGAGGGGAATCGTTTGGTGGGAGAGAAATGGGAATCGGGATTGAAAAAACAGATTGCCATGCATTATGCTTCTCACGCCAACACATCCCGTCCCGTCACGTTCTCACTTCAACTCCACAACATGAAGCATAATGCTAGATTGAGGAAGTTCTCTACTGCACTAACGCCATTTTCTCGTGACCGTCGCCTGCCATGACCGTAGCTTCAGCAGCACGCGCGCTCACGCCAACTGCACTCACACGCAAGCAATAGCACGAGTTCAAGCCATAAGCCATGGCGCAATACAAAACCCAGTTTCAAGCTCTCAGGGTCCAGCCACTCTCGCTCCCCGCCGCAACCCCTACCCCTTCCGCCGCCGCTTCTCCTTGTGACGTGCCTCTTCCTCCTAACGCCGTTTCCGCCGTGAAATGCGCCGCGGAACCCGTGCTGATCGTGGACAAATGGCGGGCTGTGATTCGCTGCTGCAGCCAGGGCACCAGCGACGCGCTCGGGTGCTCCGGGGAGAAGCTAGCGGACGGCGCAAGCATATACGAGCTGGCGGAAGGAATGGAAGCAGCTGATTGGACGAATGCCGTGGGGTCCCTGTCGCTCGGCGCGCTTTGGTCCGCCATCGAGTGAGCCGCCCTCTCCGCATCCTTCGCAATCTCGTCGCATCGCCTATTTCTTGCGAGCCTTGGATCCGAAACACTATTCGTCTCTATGACGGAACGGTATTAACATCTCCTGTCGCCTTTCTATCACCCTCTTCCCTCGGTGCGACCAGATTTTGGCTGCGACGGCCTCAGTGCTCTGGCCCGCTCAGTCGCCATCGCGTTCGCCTCACTCTCCAGCGACTCCGTGCGACGTCAAGCGAACGTTTCCTGCTTGCGACGCTGTCGCCCGCCGTCGGCGTGTGCTCGTCCGTCGAGGTCTTCGCGGGCGACACGGAAGCCGCGGCGGACGGCCACCTCGCTCCGCCGCACCTCCGCCATCTCCTCGCTTCGGCGCAACTTTCCGCTCCGCCAACCCCAACCGGCCGAGCAGAGGCGACGAAGGGTGCGCCGAGCAAAGATTCGACGCGCAGCCCACGGCCTCCGCAGGCGACGCGGAACAATTACGCGGTGCGAACCAGTGCGAGCCGAGGCGAAATCCTCGATCCACCTCAATCTCCTTCGGCTTCAAAAAGCGGGGAATTTTCTTGCGTATCCCCCAACTCGGTCGCCGGCAAGGCATTTGTTACTGTGTCGTGTACCCGCTCGTACGAGTGTGACTATACCGAGAAGCAGACGAGCCCTTCTAAGGGAAACCGTCTCATGCGCTCCCTCTCCTCTCTTCTCTCGTCGCTTGATCCCAAGTCTAAGGTCCGCTCTCCACCAGAACCACCCCAGGACTTCGCTGAACAGCTCGGTCCGGCGTTACCTGGTAACCAGCCCGCTTCGTCGCCTGGTCCCTCGCCTAACGCCGCCAAGTCGTCGAGAAGTCCACGGACCCCGAAATCGGTTCCCCCAAAGAGCCCTACTGCGGCGTGTGGCCGCCACGCGCCAGACCCTGCACCGCTCTCTGCCACGTCACGCGGGCGGTCCGCCGCTGCCTGCTCGCCTGCTCCTACGACATACGGCCCAATCCCGAAGAGCTACACGAGCCCTGCGATAGTGTTCAAGAACAAAGCAGGCCTTCCTAAGAGCCCCTCCGCAATCGGCGCCGCCGGAAGCGGAGGACTCCGTTCGAAAAGCTCCAGCGGGAATGGCAGAACCAATGGGAACCGAGTATGCAACGATCGGTCGCCTGTGCGCGTCGGCGTCAGCGTCAGCGCCGGTCGTCACAACACGACATTGGCGCCTGCTGCAGCGGCGGCAGTTGCGCGAGTTGACGCTGGGAGTGGCGGCGGGAGTGGCGGGGGTGGGGGATCGAGACCCAGCAGTAGCTGCAGCCAGGGTGGTAGAACCGCGGGT